CCAATACGGTCCGTTAAAGCCCAATACGGTCCGTTAAAGCCCAATACGGTCCGTTAAAGCCTAATATGGTCCGTTAAAGCCCAATACGATCCGTTAAAGCCTAATACGGTCCATTAATGTCCAATACGGTTCATTAAGGCCCAATACGGTCCATTAATGTCCAATACGGTTCATTAAGGCCCAATACGGTCCGTTAAAGCCCAATACGAGCCATTAATGTATATTAATTTTAAAAAACGATTTTTCTTTATTTTTTAAAATTTTTTATTATTTCTCCTCCGAAATCCGCTGGAAAAAGTTAGAAGTTTTTTTAATTTCTTAAAAATAAATTTTTTAAACATATTTCCGGCGGATTTCCGGCGGATTTATTTTTAAAAAAATCATTATTTTTCCGCTGGAAATCCGCCGGAAAAAATTAAGAGATTTATTTTATATTTTTTAATTTTTTTTTTCTAAGACTATTTCCCGGCGGATTTATTCTTTTTATTTTTTTTAATTTTCCACCGGAAAAAATTAAAAGATTTTTTAAAAAAAAAATTTCTAAAACTATTTCCGGCGGATTTATTCTTTTTAATTTTTTTTAATTATCCGCCGGAAAAAATTAAAAGATTTTTTTAAATTTTTTTCCTAAAACTATTTCCGGCGGATTTATTTTTTTAATTTTATTTTAAATTTTCCGCCGAAAATATCTATTTTAAATTTTTTTCAAATATTAATTAATTTTTAAAGATGAATTAACCCATAATTAAGAAATCCGCCGATAATATAACCGGTTTAATTTTTCCGGCGGAAGTCAATAAAAGTTGATTTTTTTAACTTCCGCCGGAAATCCGCCGGAAAAGCCGCCGGAAATGCCCAGTTTTCTAGCAGTGTGATCAAACAAGATACGAATGTCTAGGCAATTTAATGGAGAATCAAATAAAGTAGAGCAAGTTAAGTTTCTAGCAAATCTTGATTATGATATATACAATAGATGATTTTACTCTAAAAAAAATACTAGAAGATGTGTATTAAAAAAAGGACAACTTTCATGAAAACGCAACGTACTTTGTTTTAATTTTTATTTTGAGTAACATACTTAAAAACATTTATTTTGGTACCACAAATGTAACATCTCAAACTTTTAAGTACCTACACATCATCAGATAACAAATAAATGAAAGTGATTAAAGAGAATTTATCAAGTAAATTAAAAGCAATTAGACGATAGCATGTAGAGACCAATTCAATAATTGTGAGCAAGAGACTTTCTCTAGAGATCTCTGAAAGTAATCAAGAAAAGATTTCCAGCTTTAAAATATCTCCTCGAAATCGGTCAGCTCGACGAACATGTTGCAACATTCTTTCAATCTTACTGTACCATTCCCTTCCGATAGATTAATGTCTAAAACAGCGTACAAAACCCAAAAAGCATTTATGTGTCGATCAACCTAGTTAACTTATAAATCCATAAATATGCAAAATAATAAACTAAAGGAATCAAATTTAGGGCTTTGCTAGTAAAATAAAGGAAAACATAAAGATAATGATGTTGTAGTGACGTATATTGCAACACACATCAAAATTAAGTCTCTAAATACCCAATTAGATCAAAACCAGAGCACTTTGGATATCAAATTATTTGGTTGGGAGTACCTTTCAAGTACTTGTAGATTCTTTTCATAACAATGACATGAGACTAACAAGTTTGGTAATTGTTACTGTATATCCCTAAAAGTCAATCATCAAATGATTTAGTTTTGACATTGTGTCGCATTTATTGAATGGAAAGCCTTGCCCAATTATTTTGTTTATGTGTTATTTTGTGTTGTATCTAAACGTAAAAATAAGCTTAGAATATTGTATCCAAAAAATGTCTCTCGTCAAATACTAATTCAAGTTTAGGTTGAATTAAATATGGTACGACTAGTATATGATGGGACTCATATGAAGATATAGAATCCACATATGGGTACACGATGAGATCTTGCGTACCAACGTGACTCGCTATGAGAAAATTTCAATAGATGTCATGTCATGGACGTTTCACGTGTAATCATTGTACATATAGTCCTCTGACTTGAGATCATGAAGTTTGCTTTGTGTGAGTGATGTACTTTGATAACTGAATATACTCAATCCATAACTGGGTGATAGAATGGTAGTTGGATATGTCATGTATCACTTAGTAGTATTAACATGGATCAAGATAAGATTCATTCCCTTTGGATGACAAGAGTGATATCATTGGCCCCTCGATTGAATAGTACCAAATAGTTTTTTTTATTAATCTGGAAATCCAACCCGGTATGCGAGCCGACTAATCCCAGGGCGACTACTTGCTTTGCAGATAGTCCGGAGTCACCGCATTTGAACCTCCGTGGCCACAAGGGGATTTTTATTCCTCCTTGGATTTGAACCTGGGACCTCTTGGTAGTTTTGACCTTTGGAGCTAAGCTCAAACCAATCAGACACCACCCTTGTGGTTTACCAAATAGTTCTGTCCTTGAGGTGCATGTTTTGTTCGATACTCACCCGTCTTATAAATAAGAAATGCACATATATTTTGGGTCCATTCTACTTTTCCATTTCCACCACAACGGATCAGTGTTTGATTCATTCATCGTAAGTCATGTTGTACTCGATTGCCTCCGGCATTGGTAGGATTCCAGTCACCGAGAAGTCATGTATGTGGTCACGAAGGTTGTTGGCTACACGTGGTACATTAAGAATTAGCAGTAACCGTGTGGTGATGAATATCGGCTCTCTTGTTGAAAGGCGTCGTTGCTCTGCTTTTCCCACCCTGAAGGTCTTCTTATACTTATACGATGTTTTTGTTAATTTTATCGAATTAGCTATATACGAGATCACAAATACTATTTTGATGAATATATATATATATATATATATATGTATATGTATATTAGGTGAAGGCAATTGGGAAGGAAGAACATAGTGAACCACGATTCCCACCACAACATCAAGAAACACAGCCAGGAAAAGAGTATCTCATGAAGCCTCTTCCTCAATTCAGTAACCCAAATTACAACCCATCTGACAAACTCCGCGTATGTATGCTTAATTCATGTATTGTATTATGTTTTTGAAATCAACACACTACAACCAAATTAGGTTTATAAAACACTAAAAATGTCTGAATAGACTACTTTACAGGACTTAAGTCTATAGAGTGTTGTAATAAGTTTATATGATGTTTTTTTTGGATGCCTTAACATGTTATTTTAAGACATTAAAGTGACATATTTGCCTTTTTACATGATATTTGAAAAAGTGTATTATAAAATGGTTATCATAAGACACTTTGTTTCAAAAGTGCGTTAAAGAGCTTGATAATCGTCGTTTAAACTTATTACAACACTTTAAGATATGATAGTAACACATTTATTACTATACTCAAGTGCTATAAAGTAATCTATTAGGACATTTAAACACTTTTGTGTTCTATTACCTCGATTTCATTGTTAATAAATCGGGTTTATAGTAAGCTAAAAATGTCTATCATTATAATAAAATTGGGTTTATAGAAAAGGTAAAAAATGTTTAAATGTCTTAATAAGTTGTTTTAAAGTACTTAATTTATAGGACCAAACATTTGTGTGTCGTATGTAAAAATGTTGCAATAAATTTGTTTGACGCTTTTAGTGTTTTAATAGTTTTTTAGAACAATTTTAGCAAAAAACTGTCACAGTGGTTTCTTCATAGGACACTTTGAAAAAACCAATATGACGTATGATTTCATAAGTATCATAAAAACTTGTTAAAACGTCAAGAAATCGTCTTAATTTTAAACTGAATGTAACACTTTTATATAGGACCCAGAATTATTTCGGGTTATACACTTAAGTCCTATAAAGTAGCCTATTAAAACACTTAGGGGCCGTTTACCTAAACACTTACCCGATAAGTGCTTAACGGTAAAATTCAACTCTATCTCTTGTTTATTGGGTAAGATTTTAGTCTACCAAACGACATAGTATGTAATAATTTACCCGGTAAGCGCTAACCGTGGTAAGAGTCATCGTCATCACTTACCGGGTAAGATTCTCGATTCATGCATTCGCTCTTACCAGGTAAGATTTTTGGTATTTGTCATATTCATCCGGTAAGGAAATATGACTTGATAAGCGCTTACCCGAGTAAGCATTTTGTAAACGGCCCCTTACACTTGTTTGGCATCCTATAAACCCAATTGTGTTGTAGTGTGTCAAACTCTTTCTATCTACAAAAAGTCATTCAAGTTTTTTTTTTCTTTTGTTGGTAGGGAAAGGTGGCTTTAGTGACCGGAGGAGATTCAGGTATCGGAAGGGCCGTTTGCTACGCCTTTGCTAAAGAGGGTGCAACTATAGCCTTCACGTATGTCAAGGGTGATGAGGACATAGATGCCACCCACACCTTGAAGATCATCAAAGAGGCAAAAACGAGCGAGTCAAATGATCCAATGGCAATACCAACCGATCTTAGATACAACAAGAATTGTCAAAACGTTGTTGATGAGGTCATTGCGAAATATGGGCGCATTGATGTCCTGATTAACAATCCAGCCGTGCAGTACGAAACATATTCTTTAGAAGATATAACGGAGGATAGGCTTGAAAGGGTGTTTAGGACCAACGTTTTCTCTTATTTCTTCATGACAAGGTTTGTGCATCACCTCTTAACCTTTACCTGAAGTAATTTTTTTCCTCGAGATTTCGTGTTGTCTCGAGAAATTCTACCACTTGGTCGTTATAAGAACTTTTATATGAGAGCATCTTCAACAGATTCTGCAAAAATGACGAAAAGAATGGAGAATTTTGGATTTTGAGCTACTTTTTTTGCTCGATCAAAATTGAGAAAGCAGGTAAAAGAAATGATTTTTATATTATTTCCACCAATAAAAATCAATGAAATTAATTGGTTAGTAGAAAATAAATAGTATTTTATTAAATGTATAAATATTTTTGTAATATAATTAACGTTGTAAAATATACAAAAATACAGAATCTGTTGAAGTTGAATGTAATTATTTTTGGAGATTTTGAGTTTTGATTCTCTGTTTTGGAAATTTCTAGAGAATGTTTAAAAATGTGATAAGTGCCCATTAATGCAAAAAAAATCAAATAATTTCATATAAAAGCTAACACAAGGCCTCAAAAGCGACTAAAAGAAATTTGTTAGGACGTCCAAAAACATTTTATAAACTTGTCGTAATACTTTTACAGAATACATATGTTTTGTATGTTTTTGGAAACTTAAATCAAATAAGTCAGTCTATGATATATGACATTGAGACATTTTTGACGTCTTATAAACCTTGTTTTGTTAATGCATTGCAAGTTGAGATTTTTCTCTTCTTGTTTTGATGATGGCAATGACTTAATTGGTTCGTGTAGGCATGCTATCAAGCACATGAAACAAGGAAGCAGCATCATAAACACCACGTCGGTGTTAGCGTACACAGGAAGCCCAAAGTTTCTTGACTACGGATCAACGAAGGGAGCCGTCGTGTCTTTCACAAGGGGTCTATCACAAAAGCTAGTCAACAAGGGGATTCGAGTCAATGGTGTCGCACCAGGCCCTGTGTGGACGCCGTTGCAAGTTGCAGCACTAGATGATGAGGATATAGTAATATTTGGGTCAGAGGTGCCCATGGATAGGGCTGCTCAGCCTTACGAGATTGCTCCATCGTATGTGTTCCTTGCATCCGCAGACTCTTCCTACTATACTGGCCAAGTTCTTCACCCTAATGGTATTATTCTACACAAGCAAGTACAGGCATTATTACAACAAAATTGCCTTCATAGGACAAAAATGATGCCTAAATTTCCAAATAGACTACTTTATAAGACTTTCGTTTATAGAACCATATAATTGTTATAGATCCTATTAAAGGTTTTTACAATAGGAAGGTAGGGCGTATTTAGGCATCATAACAATTTCTTTCTTTTAATTAAAAAACACTTTATCATTAAGACATTTTTGAAACAAAGTTTTTTAAGACACTTTTAACATACAAGTTCTATTACATTACAGGATTTGTGTGTATATGGCCAAATAATTGTACGTCATATATAAAAGTGTTACAATAGGATATTATAATGTATCCAGGCATCCTAAAACATTTTAGCAATTGTGCTAAGAATACATCTTTTTAGACAGATACATTCTTTTTCCAAATAATGTCACTTAAAAAAGCTAATACAGTGCTTTATTTAAAATTGTCCAGAAAAAACTTGTGATAACTCTCAAAATACGTTCTATCAAATTATTGAAACACATAATTGTTTAGTTCCTATTAACTTAAGTTCTATTAAGCAGTCTATTAAGACACTTAGATATGAAATGACATCCTATAAAACTGATTTTGTTGTAGTCTATGGAAACAAATACATAACAACACATAGTAATATTGCTTTTTCTTGAAAACAGGTGGAGAAATCGTCAATGCTTAGCCCTTGAATTTGTTTAAGATAATAGAGTGAAATGTAAGTACAGTTTATGTACTTAAGTCATAGTACATACTCAAAATAAAAGTGACATGGTGATCAATCATGTAAATGGCGCACTTTGGTGACGGTTAAAGGTGCTGTTCTCGAGAGCTTTTGGGAACTACTATACAGACGCTAGCTGCAATGGGTTTTATACGAACGTACCCTTAAAATATTAATACAACTTTGGTTTTATATATGTAGTGACTATTTGTCACTCTATTAGATGTGTTTCATAAATGTCTGTGATGGAATAAAAAATGGATTCTCTTTCTTCGTTGATCTACTTCAATTGGTATATATTAGTCATGATTGGTTTTGCAGTTGCATATATAGATTATAGATGCCGTTTTACTTCCTCTGTTCCAAAAGAAATGTAGATAATGAAAAACACACAATATTATAGTTTTTTTTACTTTTTAATTAGTTAACTAAATGATAATTATACCCTTAACAATAAAGAGGGTAATGAATTTTCTCTATTTAATAATTAAGAGTAGAATTGGGAAATAGACAATTACTTTTGAAAAGTGAACACTAACTTTAGAATAAAATAAAGGGAAAAATATAAAAAAATCAATGGATTTCTAAAACTTTTAGATACATCCTTATGACCTATAAAACTAGTTAATGTGGTAAAATAATAATAAAAAGTCTGGAAAAAAGCCAATGTACTTTCATATTTTGAACGATTAAGTTTCTAAATTTTTTTAATCAAAAAAGTATTTACATCTATAAAGCGAAAAATATACTTATATTTACAAAAAACTACTTATATTTAAAAAAGATTATTGATAAATTCTATTTTAATAAAAAATAAAAAATATTCTATCAGTGATTTTTCAAATTAAAAAAAATAAAAATATTACACGAGTACTCTTCTAGTAAATCAAAATTAACAAATTGGTAGACCAAATTTGTCTCTTTATATTTTCATAACCTACTTTCGGCTATGTAGACTCGTCAAATGTCTACAACAATTGTAAAAGGAAGGGAAATTCTTTTCACTTAAAAATATATAAAAACCAAACACATAACTTTTTTTAATTAATAGTTCACGAGTCTCATATATATGAATCGTGGATAAGGTGATCATTTGCGGGTTTGGATCAGTCCCCACCGATGCTAACCTAATTTTTTTGTTTAACGAGATTAATATAGCAACTTATATATATATATATATATATATATAAGATTAAAAGTTATGTAAAACAATTCAAAATACATAACAATATATCTTTCAAACGTAACAACTTCCTTGGAGTTTAGAGTCAATGGAAGAATCGCCCACGCACATTGATTATAGATATAGGATTTAGGAAACTAAAGCAATCATTCGTAGCATTTGATAAGGTCACTATGAATATTAACGCGTGCGTCTAACAGGCATGTCCAAATTTATTTTTGTATTGTCAAAAACCGTCCATTGGTTAATTTTAACAAAACCGGTTTGGAATGTCCAATGCCACTTTTTCTAGTGGCCGGATGAGTCGGTTCTAGCAAGTCATCCCGCCGTGAACTAGGGAGATACAAGTCCGGCAAACAAATTCTTTTGCTTCATCCTTTCACAGTGGAGAAATTCGGTACATCTACCATTGATAATATAAACAATTTTTTGATTATATTTTTGACGTTATTTTGGTGTTATGATTACAGTAAATTGAATATAGGTTTTGTTAAATGAGTTCTAGTAACAATGTTAAAACAATTTTGGTGGTTTCAAACCAACTTGTTTCTAGCACAAAATATTAGAGTCGTAGTGTTACTACAACAAAATTGGGTTTATAGGACACCCTCAATCTCTAAGCGTCCCGATAGACCGCTTTATAGGACTTAATTTATAGGACCATAATATAAATTGTCCTATCTAAAGGTGTTGTAATAAGTTTATATGACGCTTTTGGGCGTCTTAACAAGTTTTTTATGACATTTTTAATACAAAGTGTTGCATTAGCAACTTAATAGGACACCCTCAATCTCTAAGCGTCCCAATAGAATGCTTTATAAGACCATAATATAAATTGTCCTATCTAAAGGTGTTGTAATAAGTTTATATGACGCTTTTGGGCGTCTTAACAAGTTTTTTATGACATTTTTAATACAAAGTGTCGCATTAGCAACTTCATAGGACACTTTTGAGAAAGTGTCCTATAAACTCAATTTTTTATAGGACATTTGTTTTTATAGGGCAATTTTCCAAATAGTGTCCCATGAAGTTGCTAATGAGACACTTTATATTAAAAGTGTCCTAAAATTTTTTTTACGACATCAAAAAGGGTCATATAAACTTATTACAACGCCTTTAGATAAGACACTTTATTTTTTTGGTCCTATAAACTAAGTCTCATAAAGAGGTCTATTAAGACACTTATAAATTGGGAGTGTCCTATAAACCCGATTTTGTTGTAGTGTGTGTCCTTGGATCAATAATAGTTAAAGTATGGAAATAGCACAAGGTTTTCAACATGTGAGTTTAGGAGCCTGTAAGATGTAAAAGTATCGTTTACAATGCGAATGGAGCTGAGAATGGGACCTTAAGTACCGCTACGAAGCAAAGATACAATCTGTATGCAGTTATTTTGAAAACGGAAAAATTTGTGTTGTTTCTAAATTTTATTATCAAATTATTTATTCGTCATAATAAGTAAATGGCTTTTCCATCCCTATACTTAAAATATGAAATTAATTAGGATAAGGTTGTTTTATCCAATAATGAAAAGGTTAAACTTTTTAAAATTATTAAAACAACCTTATATTAATGAATTTCATGTTTTAAATATAGAGGTGAAAAATTCAGGTTTACTTTCATAGTAGTAATTTATGTATTATTCTTCCCCTCTATCACTTGATGTATTATTCATTTTCAAACCCTTTTTCTTCAACAATCTATTTTTTCAGGTAATCTTTTATTTTCTTTGTCCATCAATTTTTATAAACTTCTATTATTCAATAAGATCATTTTTCAGGTTTACTATGAGAATATTAATTTAAGTATTATTCTTAACTTTTGTTGGGATTTTAGAGTTTATTTTTTTTTTATTTTTTTCTTCTATATTTTTCTTAAGCTTTTTCAATGGAATTGAAGATTTGTTCTTGACAACAATTATAGTGTTTTGATGATTACAACGATTCGATAATTGAATTTTGAATATATGTATTAAAAAAATATATGACATAACATCAACAAACTTCAATATGTTCTTTTTCAGTTGTTATTTTTCTTCCAGATTAATACAAGAAGACTAATTTTACATTATTTTTCGACTTTTGTTAGAATTTTAGAATTCTTTTCTATTTTCATATTTTTCCTAAATTTTAAATTTTACTAATTATTTTATTTACATGACGGTTGAATATAATAATATATATGTTTTTATTTACATAACAATTAGATATAATTAAAAAAACTTATTATAATTGATATATATCTATATCTATACTACCTTAATATGCATTTACATCAAAGTCTTAAGTACTACCTTTAAAGCATTAGGTACTGCTCTTTAATACATGGATTTTAAAAATATCTTAATTTCAAATTGTGATGCATTAGGTACAAGTTTGTAAGGCATCATCTTACCTACCAAAGAAGACTATTTGATTCATCTTTCTTTCTAACTAGTTGCTTTAGACCCATTTTCATCGTAAGATTCAAAATTCAAATAACCCACCGCCTAAAACCATTGAAATCGACATGTCCAGCCTTCTCTTTCTTTTTGTTCAACTTTTTTTCTTCCCAAATTAAGCTTTCTTCCAAACATTCATGTGTACAACAATTCCAGCTATGCCTATTCAAAATTCAAAATTGTTGCTTCATCTAAGGATTCTTCTTCCCAACAAATCTCCTTCAATTTTAAACTTATTTGTAACCTTCTCCACTCCACCTATTTCCATATCTCGACTTTCTCCACCTCTACTCACCGTGACTTGATTTATCCATTTCTTGACTATGTGGTAGTCTTCATATTGATGTTATATGTGTTTTCTTGTGCTAAATTCATGTGTTGTCTTTAGGAACACAAAGTGTTTGATGAAAGTTCTCTATGATGTCTTCTAACATAATTTTCTTATCTGTTTTTTAGTGTTCACTCAGGGGTTCATCTCAGCTCATAGAGAATGGTTTTCTAATTCATGATCACCGGTACACATTCGAAGTAAATCGACTCCACGATCCGTGGGCTGAAAACTTCATACCCACGAGTAAAAATGCAGTATTTGCTGCTCTTCATATAAGTTTGGTAACTAGCTTTACTTACAATATCACGAGCCATTGGTCTGAAGATCTTCATGTCGGGATCTTTATCGTCCAGTGTTGAATTAGGATCGGTCGGAGGCTTCCGTGCATTCCTCCTGCAACAAAAGCAAGGATTGGTCTTTTTGAAGGTGGGTTTCCAACAAGATCTTTAACGGGATCTTCTGCGCTACGAATATATGTGGCCGAAAGAGTCATGTCCTTCCCGATCTTGAATCCACCTGCAAGATTCGAGTTGCAAATAGATCTAATGCAACTTCCTATAGGGTCTTTTGTTAGTTTCATCGCCTGTAGCATTTTGACAGTTTTGTGAAGCCAACCAAGGTATATTGAGAAAAAAAGATCCATCAAAAGGTTATCACTCTACACACTACAACAAAGTCAGATTTATTGGATGCCAAATATGTCTAAATATCATAATAAACTTATAAGATATAAGTCTATAAAACCAAATAATTGTGTCATATACAAATGTGTTACAATAAGTTGATAGACACTTAAGCTCAAATAAACTTAAGCTCAAATCATCATCTTTAAGTAGTGTTCGTGTTTGGTTGGGTGTTACATGCTGCTGTTAATACTGCATCACTTTCTAATATGCAGGTTTTTGTGGGTGTTGCACTTCTGATGTCAAAAGTAGACAATGATGTTGCTGCAATAGCTTCCTTTGCATGGTATAAAAAGTCTTTGTTTTTATTCCTTTTCCTATCTC